GTGTGTGTGTGTGTGTGTGTGTGTGTGTGTGTGTGTGTTATACAGAGTATGAAATTATTTTAGGCAACTTCTTCATGAGTTTTATGAAAAATCAAAAACTTAGAGTATATTTTACAGTGGAAACACAACCCGAGTACCCCTCCCCTCCTGTACCGAGAGCAGCTGAACCTCCGCCTGAAAATCAGTCCCTGTTTTCAGTGCACCAGCGTCGGGGCAACATGAACCAAACCAAACAAATAGCCCATCAGTTTAAAGCCCAGACTCTGCTCTTTCCAACGATATAAGTGTCACTGCTCTACATGAAAAATCCACAGAACGAAGCTTAATTCTGGAAGTCTTACCTTTGTTTTTTATGGGTTTAATCCACTTTAGAGTAATTTTTTTTCACATGGCTGGACTTTTGTTAACTTGCACATCTCCTGTGTTAATATCGATACATGTAATATGCAAATCCTGTACTGTGGACAGCAGCCACCGAGTGAAAAAAGCCTATGCTAACACAGTGTTGCCTGCGAACCGGAAGTGCTGTCTGTGGCCAAAAAATGCGGAAGTGCTATGGAAGTCTGCGGCATAGAGGCTATTAACTGATTAAACACAAAGGTGTAACTCTCTTGTTGTCACTTTGACCTGATTTACAAATTTACAATATCATAAATGTATGTTCAAGCATAATTGCTGAAATAAGATGCAGGGTTTTAGAGCCTTAAGTTAACCTTAAGTTACGTCCTTGCGTTAAATAAAAGCACACCTGCATCAAAACATGGTCATTTTAGAATGATCTGATCCTGGATCTCTAACAGGAAAAACGGATTCAAGGTCATTTCAAATCATCCAAGCTTCTCGACAAAGTCAGTCTGAATTTTACTAGTTTAAAAACAATGAAAGACGTTTTCAATCCAGCATTTTTTATGTGGGAGTAGCTGCAGAGTTCCAGTTCTGCAGTTTCAGTCTTCAGGCCAGCTGAGTCATGAAGCTATGAAGTCAGTTTTACCAGGAGCGAGGGCAAGTGAAGAAGACACCAAACAAAACATGTAAAACATTTAGGATTTCCTCACTTACTTACAGATCTCCCAAAACTTGGATCTATAGATACAGTATAGGTGATATTTAAACTTCTTCTCAGTTTCTTACAACTTTGTTGGCAAAATGTCAACATTTAACAAACTGAACCCACACTTTTTATAAGCCGCTAAATAAAAGCCTGGTTCATGGTTTAAGACTGCACGTCTGTATTACAAGAATCAGTGAAGATCTATAAATGGAATGGGGCAAGTTGCTGTCAAAAGCCCCAGGCAAACTGTGCGGGACTGTCTCACATGTTTCACTCTTGTCCCGGCGTCGCGCAAGTTGAAACAAAGTCCCGCATTTGACTGATCAAATTATAACAAGACATACAAAGAAGAAAAAAGAAAGGGAAACAATCGACAGACGTTTTTATTGGCTGCAATTTACAACCATTAGAAAATGCCTCCTTATTTCTCTCTGCCTTCTATGCAGAAGGAGGAGGAGGGAAGAAAAAAGGCATAATAAGGCAAAGACACAGCGGCTGCCAATCAAACGCGCAGCAGCGTGTCCTGCATGTTAGAAATAAATATCTAAACACGTGAAAGAAAATGGATTTTATTTATGCAGAATGTGATGGAAACTATGTCAAAAATTCAGCAAAATAATAACTGGAAAATACTTGAGGAAAGTGAAAGATGATTCTCGGAGAGAAATTTGCCAAACTTTTTTTTTCCTGAAGGGAAACAAACCGTGAAGCAACTGTCTGTAAGAGATTCACACAAGAAACTTACAGTTCAGAAAGCTGCCTGTCAGTCTGTGGACAGACACATAACAGATCATATGACCTGCTTATGGTTTTGTTATTTTTTATCATGATAAAAAAATTAACTTTTTAGATAAATTTTAATAAAAATATGTACTTATTTTTCTTAAAAACCTTTGAAAAACATTGTTGTGTAATAACAGCCAAAGCAGAGAGGAATGAATGTGTAATGTGTCCATATTAAAGTGAGACAATGTGATGGCCCACAGGATCTGGTCCCACTTTTTACCCCCTAAACCTCAGATGCTGAAGTCAAACTTCACTTCCTGTTGTCTAAAGACTAATGAGGCAAATATTAAGAAAATTAAATTTGAAATTTTCAGTATTATCTGATTTTAGTGTGGAAAGAGAATCAGCTTTAGTTTTATTTTTCTGTATTTTCTTTTCATTTTAAAGTCAAACATTGAATAATGAATGCTAACAATGAGTCCTTTTTAAATTTAATCTTTTCTTTGTCAGGTTTTGGGTGTTCTAAATGGAACATAAACCATAGTTTGGAAAATAAAATTAGTATCATAAGAATAATTTGATTTTGTTTCAATAAATATTAACAGAAATTGGCTCTTGATCTGGACTAAGTGTGGAAAATTCGCCCCCTTGTGAATTCGACCCCCTGTGTTAGTGTGTTACATTTTGACAGTAATTTAGAGTCTCATTAGTTTAAATGTTGTAATTTATTGCACTGACCTTTGTCACCAAGCCGTTTCACCCAAATAAACATATTTCATATTGTTTTAGCTACAGCAGAGAAGCAGCTCCATGTTTTCTCCTCCGTCAGACACAGATGAAGCTGAATTGTTAGAATTCAGATCATGGAAACAGCTCTATGATGGAGAGAATAAATGAAGATCCTCCATAGAACAAAAAAGCCATTTGTAATTTTGTGAAAATAAACTTGATTATAGTTATTTTATAAACACTACAAAAATTGTCATTACTAGTTTTTGTTTCAGAAACCAACCTGTAAAGTGTTGAATTTTAAACATCTGTATCAGATGGAAAAAAAATCTGATTTAAAATAGATAAATATGCACAATGTACAAGATGTGTCTGTAATGTCACATTATTAGGACAGCTGCTGATACCGTGCACCGGACAAGGTGCCCTCTTTTTACATTTGAGCATTTTTACCTGCCCTCGAAAATGTCTGTGCACGCTACTGATTTTGTAGAATTTGGATGGGAATCTATGAGTCTGGGCTTTTACTGCTTTGTAAAGATTTAACTTTAACCTCAAACTACTGCGATAGAATGGTCCAATTCCCACCAGTTTCAACTCAAAGTATCAACTGGGAAGCAGGTATGTGTTGCAAATGATGAAAATTTACTTGTCTGATCTGATTGTTGGTAACATTTGGATCTTCAATTAAGAATTTAGTAGCATGAACTTCCATTCTGTAGTCAAAGACATTTTACGCCCCATCCAGAGAGATTTCTGAGTGCAAAGTTCCAAGTTTAAAATGATGAACTGCTCTGCAGGTACAGTCACATACAGATTAATCTCACTCTGCTATAACCAGCGTCATTAGGTTCTTTGTTTGCCTGGCTTATAGGCAAGATGTTTTGGTCACCTACAGGGAAACTGACAGGGCATCATGTTTGATGTTCTGTTGTGAGTTACAGAAAGCTAAAATCTGAGATCTCTTCTTTGATTTGAAGTTGATTTTCTTGATTGACGTAAATGGTCTTCTCTGTCCAAAATAAGGATAATTTGGTCCTCAAAAGTGTGACCTTGAGGTGTAGATGAACAGTTTTGTCCTGAATAGGACTGTCCTGTGTTGAGTCATGTCTGTGGAGAGATTGTTTAGTTTTTCCGATATAGTTATCCACATGTTTGGAGGGTTTTTTTGTCTGCTTTTGTCCTTTATCCTTCCCTTCTGTCCTCATGGGGACATATTTGTCCAAATGGTATGGAGTTCTGTCAGAAAGTTTGTGATCCAGTGGGTGATGAGTCAAACAGGAAGTAGTGATGTGTGTGGGTTGGTTTCCTGTAAACTTTAATGTTTAGTCTTCCATCTCTGTCCATGTGCACCAAACAGTCCAAACAGTCAGCTTGTTGCTGTTAACATCCTCTGGTGAATTTGATGTTGTCAACAGAGCTGATGTGTTTAGTGAACGCTTTTACTTCCAGTCCTTTTATCTTGACCCAGATATCATATCTGAACCAATGGCTCTGTGTTGTTCCTTTGAAGGAGTCCAGATTGGTCACAATAAGTGACACTTGAGGTTCCATGGCACAACCATGTTCCTTATTAATGTGGATGGTTTTATCTCCACACAAGTGTTACAAAATGACCTTTAAATTGGATGCAGTTGGTAAAAAGACATGGGTTGGTCAAGTCAACACTCCATTACACTCGCTTGGTTAAAGTTATACTGGGAAAGTTCAAGGTGTTGGTAATTATGAGGCTTTTTTAAGTATTTTGAATCAGCATTTGCACACAATGCACGTACAGCATGGTACTCAAGTGTAGAAAACAACCAAAAACTGCAATAATTTTCACAGTTTAAATGCATCCTTGGACCAGAAAGCATTAGAAACAAGAAATAAAGCAGGTCTTTATTAAGATGTTCAGCTCATAGTGGCAGGTGGTCTCATAAACCTCCAGTCAAGCGGATGTGTTTAAACTGCAAACATAATCTTGGAATTGAAGCTGTAGAAGACAAAAACACTTCTTTTTTTGTCTATAATCTTTAAGATGAAATACGTTAATGGTTTTTTCAAAAGGTTTTGGAAAATAATCTTTTGTTAGCCAAAAGTCTGTTTGTGATACAGAAAAATTTGGTTAATAGGAGTTATGAAGCTTTCAAAGATTGGAAACATAAATGCAAATATGAACGGTATGCAAATTAATATCCATATAAAGCTGTGACTGTCTTGGTTTGTGATTAACATTCAATTTCTCGTGATTTGGAAATGTGTTACTGAATGTATATTGTCGTAGAACTATGGGCTTGGAAGGCCTTGGATTACTGAATAAACAGGTTATATTCCTGTGTGTAAAAACTATCATTACATTTGAAATAAGCAGTGGAAAGACAGAAGTTCAGCAGACTACATATCTGATCCGGGTTGTAAATGGTCCTGTTGCTGACATTGTTTTCAGACAAATAATGTGTAGTTGAAGGTGATTGTTTTGCACCTGTTGCTTTGAAGGAAGAAAAAGAAACTCATCAGAAGAGGAGGTCTGTGTGTTTCTCACCGAAGAAAGATGCCTTTGATGTTTGGAGTGTTTTCAAAAGCTGAAGCAGGAACACTGGAGATGCGGTTGCTTTGTAGGTAAAGGTATTCCAAAGACTCAGGCAGGTCAGATGGAATGTGTGTTAGCTGGTTTCCAGACAAGTCCAGTGTCTAAAACAAAAAAGTAAAGCACAAACTAAGAGATTTATACTATGTGAACCATGTCCAGTCTCTACAGAACCCATCAGGCAACATTGGATAAAACAAAAATAACACATGGCCACAAGATATTTATTGCCGTCATTTCTATGCAGAGATTGTTGACTGTTAACATGGACATTATTTTAACTTTAATTTAACATAGGAATAAATTTCAGTACTTCAGTTTCTTGTGTTTAGGCATGGAGTAACTCTTAGAGAGAGATACTTAATTTGGCTGCTCTTCAGATCACTTACTGTGAGTGCACTGAGTTCCATCCAGGCTCCCTGGTAGGCTGAGTTGAGTTTTAGCTTGTTCTCACTGAGGACCAACTTCTGTAACCTCTCCATGCCCGACAGAGCACCGTCTGGTATTGAACTGAGCTGATTGTTCTTGATTTCAAGAACTTTCAGACTGCGAGGGAGACCCGTGGGCACCGTCTGAAGGGCATTCCCGGATAGGTCGAGAGTTTCCAGCACGCGCAGCTTCCTGAAGGCCTCGTGATGTAACCTCGGGTTGGTCAGCTTGTTGTAGCTGAGATTTAGTTCGGTCAGGGTGTACAGCACAGCGAGGTCGTTTCGGCCAATTTCAGCAATGAAGTTGTGGAGCAGCATCAGGGTCTTCGCTCGTCGAGGCAAGCCCCTGGGAACGCGTTCCAACAAGTTATTGTACATGTGAAGAGTGTGAAGCTTCTTCAAGCCCTGGGGGAAAAAAAGAAAGATTTAAACATAACAGTGGCATTTCATCATGTTAGTCTTGTACGTTTATTTTACATTTGTTTTCAATAAATCTACTTAAAAAAAGAGTGAAAAAAAGGTGTACCTGGAAGGCCATAGGATGAATAGAGCGTGAGCGGAGCTTATTATTGTGAAGGAGCAGATACTCGAGGTTCTTTACAGATGTGAGAGCATCTCCAGGGATGCTCTGAATAGAGTTTTTCTCCAAGTGTAGCAGCAAAAGATTTCGAGGCAGACCCTTGGGAACAACACTCAGGTTGTTGTTTGACAAATCGAGATACTCGAGGCTAGTCAGTTGGCTGTAAAAAAAAGGACAAACATTTGAACAAGTTTTATTATTTTGTTGTCGACTTTGGTCACATCGTACCCACCTTGACCTGTTTTGTTTGCACCTTGGCACTTGACCCCCACATTTTATCTGCTTGAGTTTTGAACTGAAAACAAGTAGCGCTTAGCCATTTAAAAAAACTATATTATGAATAATCAATGTGATTTTTCAGACTAGGACATTAGCTTCAGATGTTTCTGAGAGACATAATCAATAAAAATATTCTTGAACATGTTCAAAACCTGAGCACATAATGTGCCAAACATTAAGAACAAATATGAGCATTATAGGACATTCTGGAGACCCTATTAGATGCTGTTCACTAACTAGCTAAAATATGGAAACACTTGTCTTGGAAAATGTAAAAAATTTTCTAATAAAAAAATCACAGACAAAACTACAATTTTTCAAAATTCAAACCCGTTGGTCTTACAACATGATAAAACACAGGGGTGTCACTAGGTTTTAAGGACAAGAGGGGCTTAGCCCCTGGAGACGCACAGAATTTTTGTATATTATATATTTG